TCCCTATATAGACAGGCAGTACCATTAACTTCTGTATGGTTATTCTGAAATACCACGTGTCTCTAACACCTGGACTTCATTCTCCTACTGAAAACATTTGCTCATTTTTTTTTTTTCATAATATCCAGACCAAAATCAGTAAGTACAGATCTTAATTTCTCACCTTTTGACACAATAATATTTTCCAACCACCACCTCTAGGTCAGCCTGATATATCACCACTGAAAAAGTACAAGTTCTGAAAGTAAATGGGCTATTTGCAAAGCTTTTCCAGTTTCCTCACTGAAAAGGCATTTGGCACTGGGTGTACACTGATCCAACTGGTCTTTAAGGAATCTAAGATAAATTCCCACTCTGGAACAATCTTTAAGGACATATCTCCACCAAGTGCAGAAGCAAAGAGCTGACCCTCACATCAGACAAAACAGTCTATGGGAATATCCCCTTCAACAGACTCTCCTATTTTCACATTTTGCACATTACCTACCTGTACAAAACCCACAAAAACTATACAAATGGTTAAAGCAGAACGAGCATCTTACCTTACTGATTATTTGAATGATCTCGCCTTCTTTAAAGCTGAGTTCATCATTTGAGCCTTCATAGGAAAATATTGTCCTGCAATATTCCTTGGCTGAAACAAAACAGCACAATTAATAATACCAGTTCACTTGTGCTGTCTGAAAGGAGAGCTCAGAGATTAACACTATAGTCACACATCCCTCCTGAGACTGCTTTGCAAATGTTCACTGTGTCATTCATATCACAAGAAAAATAAAACTACACATTTACAGAGTGATGGATAGAATTCTTTGTCAAGTCAGTAGTTTAAAACATTTTTATCCACAAAAGCAATTTAATTCAGGTACTCTGACTTCAGAGGGAGAAAAGAAAAGCCTACTCAGTTAAAATCATAACAGTCTCCCCATAGCATTATATATTCATTTCTGGGCTGCTTTAGACAAAAATGGTTTCAAGTTTTTTGAGAGTTTATAAGAAGTTTTTATCATGTCAAAATTTATCTAAATTTCAAATACACATTCCTAATTAAATACATGCAATTGTTTCATGGTGTAATTGTTTGTTAATACTTTAAACTACTGAAACTTCAAGTACCCAAGCAGCACATTTGCTGAAATTCTGCAGTGAAATCAAGTAATTGAAGCAAAGGAATTCCTTGGCTAAGCACCTGAAATCAGAGCTTGTCTGAGTGATCAACTTCAGACAGTCACAGCCTCTTCTGCAAAAAGAATAATTCCTTTCTTTCCATTTGGAATAGTTCAAAACTAAATCCATTTAAAATTGTGATAAAGTTTTCAGGTAAAGAAGCAGGAGGATTTGTTTTCCTTTCCCACACTAGAACAAAAACAACATGAAAAAGGCCAAAATACATTAATACAGAAGTCTTGATTGTAAGGCATTTTTCACACCTTTTTTAACCCCAGCACATTGAGAATTATTTAGCAGATAAAAGGGCTGTATTTCTGTATCTGACAGATGAAGGAAGAAGAAGCAAACAAAAGGGGCTCTAACGTGCTGCCAGAACCTAACAGGTATTTGTTGCTAACACCACACACAAGTGAGCAGCTTCATCAACCCTCAGGTAACAGCACAACATGAAGTCATCATTAGGATCATCTGCAAGTCAACTTGCTAATGACTGCCTTTTGCTGGATGGCAAAAAATAAACGAGTGAGATGCAGTTGAATCTTTTCGTTGTTGTTGTTGTATGTTGTTTAATCAAGATGTAAATCTGTAGTTAAATGAATGCACAAATTGTATTACTAAATAAAAATCTGCCTTGGTCAGTGCCAGCCACTGTTAAAATATAAAAGTATGCCAACCTTAAGAGATAGCTATATAAAGATATACATAGGTATGTAACTACATGAGTAATCCCAGGTACAGGAACTTGCATTATTTTACTGCCTTATCTAGTGATCAAAAATGCTCTCCTGTAGATTGACTATATTGTGGTTTGTGAAGAATTACAGAAACATAAGCAGAGTTATGTAGCTATGTCAAAGTGATGAAACTGATGCACGCTTAAATCAAGGTCAAAAAAAAAAAATCACACTGACTAAAAAAAAATTCAATAGGTATACTAGAAATACCTATTAAATTATTAAATTCAGGGGTTTCATTCATTATTAATCAATAAGTGTAACACAAGCGTAAAACATTTCTATATGTCCTGATTCTGTAAAAAAATACAAGTATTTCCTTATTGCCTGTGGATTTGGTCAGTACAGCTGAACTTTACAACCTTTCTCTCCTTCTCCTCCAAGCAGTTTTCCCCTCCTCACATACACCAAGACCCACAACAGACAGAAAACTGTGCCAGAAAAAGGCCATTTCACTCAGCTCCAGCTGCCAGGAAGGCTGGAGACAGGGAGGCCTGCAGACTGCCCAGGTTCCCCCAGTATGTGCCAGGCTGTGAACCCCAGTAGCCAGCACCACTCGAGAAACCCAGGCACGTACATTCAGAGTAGGCACAATTTGCCACTTCAGCATCTTATTTTGTGAGCCTGATATTCTGTCAGTAGTTAAAATGAAAAAAGAGTCCAGTTTAACTTTCCAGCATTTAAATCTAAGATGGTATTTACAAAACAGTAAATCTGAACTTCAGTAAAAACTTTAAACTACCTTTTATTAGAAGTTGAATCTTTGGCAGACTTGGGACTAACAATACAGTAGCAGAAATTGCAGATGTTGCATTCCAACGTAATGGGGGGAAAGAGGGGTCAAACTGTGATTATTTTATTTTTTTAAACAAAATATTTTTACATACTTGTACCAGAGGCCAAAACAAGCTTCCCAGAAATAGAGCCACACCACAAAATAACCCACACTAGTCTAAACAATTGAGAGATCTATTTATTTGCTAAAATATTGAACACAGTTTATTTTAAACTTGCTCTCTCCAAACTGAGGATGATATACATAAACTATAATAGGATCTTTATTAAAATAAACACACTAAGGAAGAAAACCAAGCTTTCTCCTGAAGGTTATAAGATGTTTGTAAGTGGTGTCTCTAAGTACTATCTACTGATGTTCTCCTACAGCATCTGTTACTACATTAAGTTCCTCTCTGATGTATTAGTTTCCCTGGGGAGTATAGACTCAGCATGGCTACTAAATTAGTCCAATTTCTATGCTTTTAGCATGAGATGCAACTGAAATAACAAAAAGAGCTAAACACTGAATGTTCTGAGCATCCAGTACTCAATGTTCAGATTTTTTTAGGCAAGCTTGGGTTAATTTTTATGCAAAGTTTTAGACAAGTCAAATTTCACAACGCTCAGGGCTGCACATTGTCTCGCTGGCTCTTACAGTGGAATGGTTTAAAAGCAAGATCTCAAGACTATCCCTATTTTGACGTTTAGTAAAGATTTCAAAGTTGCAAGTAAGCATCAGCTTCAGCTGAATGCATCGTACACAAACTTTTGATATAATCTCTGCCTGCAATGGCAAAACTTCAGTATTAGCCACTCTCAAGCCATCACATCAAACACTTCTTGACAGTGATCATCTGTTTGTAAACATGGTCATGCTATTTATAGCCATCCAATTCAAGAAAGCCAAAATATGGCTAAAATAGCATGAATGCCCTATACACTGCTAGTTAGATAACCTAAGGCTCTGACTAACTAATCTGCTATTTCAAGTGCCCAGTTCTACCAGATTACAAAACTCCTGAACACGGGCAAAGGAGTCAATTGTTTGTTGCAGTTTCCTTATTTCTGCAAATTATGCATTCCACAGAAAACAACCCACTTACACCAAAATAAAGTATTTCCGCATAAAACAAAAATATCCTTGAAATTACAATACAGAAGTCAAAAAAACAACTGCTCTGGAACCAGGCGAAATGAGCTATCTACACAGCACATAATTGAAGTTAATTTTTTATATGGGGTTGGCACTCCCACAAGATGTTTTGGGTTGACTTTAAAAATGTGTCTCTAGATAAAACTAGGCAATTTGGTAGTCAAATGAAGTCATGAATTCTCAGAGAAAATAAAAAATAAAAAAAAATATAAACAGAACCACAATGGAACTGGATTATCTAGGGAACAGACTTCAAGAAAATAAAGCACCAACTTTCTGATGCATGAAACTTCACATACAGTTATGACAACACACTAGCAACTCCACAGTAAATCCTGAGCTTAGAGAGTCACTTCTATAGCCTAGGGACAGAAACCAAGTTAGGGGACTGTTCCATAGCAATAGATTTCCAGCACCCCAGCTGAACAGTAAAAGCTAGGCAGAAAGTCAGTCAGTTTCAGCACATCAACAAAACAAATCAATGCAAAGGGGTTGCTGCTATAAAACATGGTATCACAGCCTTATTTGGTAGGGTTTTCTCCCAGAACAAAAGTTTTTGATTTATTTTCCACAGAAATGCAAGCCAAAACTCTGAATTTCAGACTCTTTTGCATTTGCATAACTCCTCAAAGGTACAGAACATTACACAAACACCCAGTATACATAGAGTTTAACATTTTAACACAAAAAATGTGCCAATCAAATACTTCTCTAGAGAAGACTACCAAGTAATGGATGTAAAGTTCTATCAGTCTTACCTTTTGGTTTACTTTCAGCTTCTGATTTTACTACTTCTGATGAGTTTTCAGTTTTTGTTGTACTGGGAAAATGAATTAGCTTTGTTCCAGGGGGATGGTTAGGCGATGGCTGTATGAACAAAAGAGAACTTTGGTAACAAAAATTCACTGAGTTTTACTTTTGATTAGGCTACAGGACATACTCAGGTTTTCATTAGCTGAGATGGTGCGAATGACCATCTCCAAGAGATTCAATGAGCTTTCCCATTAAGCACTTAACTGATGGCATTTATTTCATTACAGCCACTGCAATTAGAATTTCGTCTACTGATTAAAGACCCAGCACAGCTTTCAAACTGGAAACCAATCTCAGGACACTGCCAGATAAGACTTTTGCAATCGTATTACAGCAGCTCCAAGTGTTATTGTTCCATTATCCTGAAAATTGCCTCCTCCAGTGCAGAACAGAAGCAGTTATTTAACAGCTCTGCTAAAAGTAGCTCACTGACCACGCTTACTTCATACTGGAATAAAGCAGGAATATTCAGCAGCCATTCACCACCTCAGAAGAAGAGACAAGCAGTTTTCAACTACTCAGAAAAATTGAAGAGCACATGAAATCCCATCCCAGTTTCCATTCACTCTTAGTGATTCATACAGAACAGAACCAGAACAGATAAATGTCACTAGAGATTTCTCCTGAACCAAAAAGCTACAGAGGCATTGCAACCAGTAACAAGTTTCAGAGTTAACATCTAATCAAAATAATTGTTCCATTATTTGTATTTTTTTTCTTCCCCCAGGAGACTTACTGAGCTGCCAGGAAGCTTCAGTTGCAGCCACTTCTCCACAGCTCTATGAGCTACAAACATAGAATATGATCTTACAGTCAGTACTTACCCGAGCAGCCCTAATAGTGTTACAGACGTGAAAAATCCCATTGCCTTTAGTTATTCTGTTCATTTCATTTACAGTTAAGCTTCACAGAAGTACTACTGCCAGAGAAACTAGATTTACTCTCCTTAAAACCAGATGATGCCTGTGGGCTGGTGTTTGGTACCTCTGACATACCATAGAGGAAGCCACGGCCACTCAGGATGTTCTCGGAGTACATATGCAATTTAACTCGCTCCTGAATGCTATATGAAGGAAGCACTAAAATAACTCACCTATGAGATTAAACAAGTCCAACATGGAAATAGTTCTCTACATTTCCCCCTTCCAAAATGAGATGCAATTAGAAGTGCAAGAGGAAGTTTAGGCAGACAGGGTATAAATAGCCTGAGCCCAGGCAGGACACTGGGACCAGCTCAAATCTATCTAACCATCTCCCGCAGGAGCATATATACTCCTGAGCACTTCAGATACATCAGTGCTCAGCCTTCCTGTGCTGAACACTCTCCAAATTCCCCAAAGGAAAAAAGTCCTCTCTGCTCTAGAGTTTCCTGATGACAGCTTTTTTTCTTTACTGGCTTTAAGACTGAGAATGCTCTTCCAGCATCTCTCCATCTAACTCGCAAGGGAGTCGAGGACAAATCCAAAGAAGCCATCCATTTCTGGAAGACCTTCACAAGAATTATCTCCTTAGGGCTCTGCAGGTTGTTCCATAAACCTGTCTGCCTTTGGGATGACTTTGGCAAACAGCCTAAGTGGAATATTAAGAACTTAACTCAACTGTTTATTTCACTGTCTTTAAGCTATGCAAAAATGTTTTCTCACATCATTTCTCTTCTAGCCGAGAAACAGCCTACAACAATTTCACAGACAAGACAACTGACAAAACACAGTGACAACATATTTTAGTGCTTATGCCCAGTCAAATAACACAATTCATAATGTCTGAGCAGACTTTACATTAATTGAATATACTTTGGATAGGCTCTTTATACTCTCACAAGTTACAAGGTAGAAAGTAAAGAAACATTTTGAACAACCAATCAGTCTCATGACAAGAAAGCAAATTGAAAGCTAGGTCCTGAAAGTCTGGTCTAACAGCATTCACATGAAGATGTAGTGATCCCAGACTCCTACTTTGAGGAACAAAACCAGAAGAGAACCAAGGAAAACCAATGTGCCTTCACAGAATGGTTTGGGTTGGAAGGGACCTTCAACGACCATCTAGTCCAACCCTCCTGCTATAGGCAGAGACATCTTTCACTAAGATCAAGTTGCTCAAAGCCCCATCCAACCTGACCTTGAACAATTCCAACAACAGGGCACCCACAACTTCTCTGCGCAACCTGTTCCAGTGTCTCATCACTCACTACAGAATTTCTTCCTTATGTCCAGTCTAAATCTACCCTCTTTCAGTTTAAAACCATTGCCCTTTGTCCTGTCACTACAGACCTCAGTAAAGTCTCTCTCCAGCTTTCTTATAAGCCTCCTTTATATACTGAAAGGATGCAATAAGGTCTCCCTGGAGCCTTCTCTTCTCCAAGATGAAGAATTTCCTTAGGAGATAACATTCCCTGGGCCTTTAACATAAGGCGGCACTCTTGTAACCTTCATTTTCTGAATCATCTGATGTTTTGACTGGACCAGAAACAAACCATGTCTATAGGTCTTAGCATTGCTGCAGAGGGAAAACACACTCAAGAGAGTCTCTGTCCCTACTGTGTCCCAAGGGACTCACCTCACCTTTTGCCCTACACCATTACAATTATTTCCACAGCAGCAGAGGAAAGCAAATTGGTCAGCAAAACAGCATTAATGACCATAACCCACAAACAAAAAATTGCAATTGGACAAAAGTTTTAAAAGCTTCCTTTAATTGATCACCTCAGTAAAAACTGAAACACTAGATTATTTCATCTGCCTTTAATTTATCAGCAGCTGAAAATCCCTACATAAGCTCTTGGTATAAATGATGTGTAAGTTCAAGATAAAGGCCTGAGCATCGCTCTTGTGATAAGAGTGCTCTTGGGTTCAGATCAAAATAAACTAAAGCACTTTCACTATCATCACATTATCTGCTCTCTTTTAAGCTTTAAGTTCAATATAGAGAATAAAAGTGCTTCTTTTTTCCACTCACTCACAAAAAAGGGGGAAAAGAAAAAGAAAGAAGATGCAAAAGTGTAGAACAGTATTTTTCAGGCTTACACAACCAGCAGTTTATGTAGCTCTTTAACCTAAGACATCGCTAAAGTCAAAAGCTTGGCAGCATTCACTGGAGGACATTTACTTTGGTAATGATGCCTGACATCTAGAACAGCAATCTCAACATCCATCAAAACTTGGAAAAAAAATCCAAACCAAAACCTAAAGAAACCCCCAAATATTCCTTGTTTTAAAGGCCAAGTTTAACTTGTACAGGAAGACTTAACAGTCTCGTCTCAGATTGTATATGAAGTCTGTTACACAGAGAATTACAAGAGACCTTGTACTGTAGATGTGCCTGAGAAGTTATGATGTCTTACACCACATGGCTCAGAAATGACAATTTTTATATCAGCTTGGTTTTCCCTCTCTAATGTTTTAAATACCAAGACACTTGAAAAGACCTTTTGGAACTAATGTTAAATATAACTTACTATGAAAGAAGTTTGAGGGGAGTTGTTTTGTTTTATTGGTAAGTGCTTCATGAGATGACTATGGTCTGATTATGGAACAGTATTGGGAAATTTTAAAGTGGCAGTGTGTTCAGCATAAGACATTATGTCTTCAGATTCCATGTCTTTTAAATTATTTTTACAGGAAACCCAAAAACAACAATACAAGCTGCTACAAACCTTATCTTGTTTTTTATCTTCTGATTCAGTACTGGATAATCTTGTCTTAAGTTTCACTGAGCCTTCTTTAAAAATATCTCCAAAGCCAATACCTCGGATTTTCTTTGGCTGTGCTGGTCCAGATCCAGGTTCACTCCCATTTCCTGGAGAGACCACAGGTGAGGTAGGACCACTGAAAACAGACTCTGAAAGTAAAAAGAAAAAAAGTTGCTTTAATATCTGAAAGTATTTATTTGCTCTTCTGGGAAAAAGAGTGGAAGTAACACAGCTGTGTGCACTGCTCTTGCTAAACAGATTTTTTAGGAACATTACTGTAGCTTTTGTACCTCACATTTGTTTTAGGTGTATATTTAACATAAGACTATTTGAAGTTACATCAGAATCGCATTGAATACTCTGGCAACTAAGTCATTACATCACTAATATTTCTTGCTATTTCAATTATCCCTCAGGCTTCAGAGTCTGCTAACATCAATGTTTCAGTTTCCATTAGGTTTATGAAACACTTCTCATGCATTCTCTGAAGAAGTGTTTTTAGTCCAGCATTTAAAAGCTTGTCGTTTGCACAGCTATAGCTGCTGAAAGTGATAATCAATAAAGGTCCATAATGAGTCCTATTATGTTTCAACAGCCACAAGGGGAAAAAACAGCACATTTCAGGCACCAAAGTGAAATTTTGCTATTGCTCAAAATGCACTATCAAAAATACCTGAACATAGTTTCCTGCAAATTTATTTAAATAGCTTTTTAACCTGGTAACACTTAACACCTATTTTAAATGAGTTAAACCATCAAAGCAGATACAGTTGTTTTGAGGTTAATCACTGGCAGATAACAAATATTTAAGATTATTTCAATCCTTCCATTTTAAGGGACAACATTTATCCACCCTCAAAAAAAGTAGTTCAGAGAATTTAATTCAGGTGTTAGAAGCTTTTAAGTTTTTGGTGTTTTGTTTTTTGTTTTTTTTTTTTTACGTTACAGTCAAATCTGTTAAAACCTAAAATCTAGTAGGGCAAACTATTTCCACATGCATAATTCCAGGAGATACTAATGTGAAAATACACAGCTTTTATAAACCAAATTCAAAAGAGCCTGCACATCTTTCAGCCTTTCAGTTAAGTTCTTCCAAGCGTATGCATGCCTGGGAATTGCTATAAAGATTAAAGCCTCTTCCCTCAACCATAAATTGAAGGGGTTGTGATAATACCATGAAGTTACATAGCCCCTTGACTTCAGTTTCTCACCTTTCCTCAACTGAGTTACCCTTCACTTAGTTATATCCCTCTTAGATATCTAAATGATAGCTAGAAATGTAATTGATGAGAAAAGTTCAAGTTGCATGTTTGAAAGACAGTGAATGGTGCATTTACTGCTTCCCAGCAGCGAGGAAAGAATTAGCAGATACTTGAGATCTTGACTATGAAAGCAGTGAGCATGAAATATAACCCCTGGGGGTATGAGGGGCTAAAAATTATAACTACTTAGTTACTGACATAAAATATAATTACTTCCAATTACTGTTCAGTCCCACTGATCTCAGTATTCAGGCATTAAGACCAACACGTACCCATTTGTAAATTCATCTCGCCAGACCCCACTAAATTCAGGGAACTTGACCTCCAAGGCGACAGCCACTGAGCTATTTGGGAACACTCAAGTCAAACAACTCTTGTTTTATGTTACTGCAATTATTTTCACAATAGGGCAATGAAGCTGGTGAAGGGTCTGGAGCACAAGTCTGATGAGGTGCAGCTGAGGGAACTGGGGTTGTTTAGTCTGGAGAAAAGGATGTTGAGGGGAGACCTTATTGCTCTCTACAACTCCCTGAAAGGAGGGTGTAGAGAGGTGGGTGTTGGTCTGTTCTCCCAAATAACAAGTGACAGGACAAGAGGGAACAGCCTTAAGTTGCACCAGGGGAGGTTAAGGTTGGATATTAGGAAAAAACTCTTCACTGAAAGGGTTATCAAGTATTGGAACAGGCTGCCCAGGGAAGAGGTGGAGTCCCCGTCCCTGGAGGTATTTAAAGGACGTGTAGATGTGCTACTTGGGGACATGGTTTAGTGGTGAACTTGGCAATGCTAGGTTTACAGTTGGACTAGATAACTGTAATGGTCTCTTCCAACCAAACTATTCTATGATTTATTAAAAAAAAGAATCCAAGCCAGCCTTTGCTTTCCTATCTCTGAGCAAATCCTTGTTAGAAACAATCAATACCGATTATCTTGTAAATGATAGTGCACATTACTACAAGGGGGGAAAAACGAACAAGAAAAAACAAACACACACCAGAAAACAGCCACTTTTTCCCTTTAACATTACACAGCTGTCTTCAAGCATCAATTAACTCACATTAAGATATTGTTCTCAAAGAACACTCCCATTCCAGCAGTATCATATCACAAGTTCTCAGCCTTCAAACAGGTCTTCATAAACAAAATGCCTCTAAAGTGCAGTTTCAAGGAAATAAAGTAATTGCTTGCAAAGCATGCACCTGCCTGGCACCACACAGCACTCAACTGCTGTTCAGCCACAGACTGTCTGCTTCTGCCTGAGCTATACAGTCACAAAAGAATGGCTAAATGTAAGTATCTCCTTAAAAACGTGTTATTGTTACACTAAAACATAATATGGGGCCTTCTTCCCAGGATTCATTTTAAGTTGAGGCTCTCTATACTGTTTTAAGATTTAATCTTCAACTGACAAGTTTAAATGCTTAAGTTTTCCATGTCAGAGAACTCATATCTATGAGGGTAAGACTGGGAAAAAAGCTATTAAACAGAAGAATAATTTTATATCCAATACTAAAAAAACCTCAATTTTGAGTATGTTAAAATTTCTAGTGATAAAATGCAGATTATACATTTGCAAGATAAAGACCTTGACTGCAATTTTATTACAAGTGTATTGGAAGCAAGACAGGTTATCTTCATACTCAGCAGCAGTATTTTCTAGAATGTAATTAAATACTTACTGGTCTTAGGAAGCTTGAATTCTTTACAACTTTTGTTGTACTACAATCCATAACACTCCAAATTATACCTGAAATTTTGCTAAGGTTTTACAACAACCAGAATATCACCTGTGTCATCCAGAGTGTCCTGTGTTTCTCCATCATCTGTCAATTCCAATTCTTTCACAAAGTTTGAAGGAAACAACCCTGCCTTGCCATTTAGTGTTCCACTCCACCAGCCTTCTTCTACCTGTATAGAAACATTTTGCACATTACCAATAAAGCAAAGGAAATTCCCATCAATTCCATCCATACTTCACTTACAGAACTCTACAAACAACTTTGGAATTGTTCAAATCCCCATGATTTCTCTTGAAAGAAACCTACCAAAGATGTAGAAACAGTAGGCAAAAAGAAGAGCAATAAAATAAATTAATGTCACTCCTTTCTCTACAGCAATGATCCTGAAACATGAGACCAGACTCATGCCAATTAATCCAGAAGAGTAGCAAAATGTTCATCAACTTTCTCAAGATAGAATAACAGGCATTACACACCTAACAAGAAAATATTAAATTGTGTATGAAATAAAGAGGAAAGACAGAGAGAGCTGGGTCTGTTTAGCCTGGAGAAGACAAGACTGAGAGGGGACCTTATTAATGTTTATAAATACCTAAAGGGCGGGTGTCAAGAGGATGGGGACAGACTCTTTTCAGTGGTGGCCAGTGATAGGACAAGGGGTACAAGTTGGAACACAGGAGGTTCTGCTTAAACATGAGGAAAAACTTCTTTACTGTGAGGGTGACAGAGCCCTGGGACAGGCTGCCCAGAGAGGTTGTAGAGTCTCCTTCTCTGGAGACATTCCAAACCTGCCTGGACGCTTTCTTGTGCAACCTGCTTTAGGTGAACCTGCTTTAGCAGGGGGGCTGGACTAGATGATCTCCTGAAGTCCCTTCCAACCCCCACCATTCTGTGATATGCAAATTTTAGCCTGTCTTTCTAAAGGAAATTTTTATCTGTTCTTGATATCCATCTGTCTTTTCCTCTGTCTTGTCCAGTTTCCACTAGTCCTATTCCCACTGGTCTTGCATCCACTGAACAGCTTCAAACAATTTTGAGCAAACAACAGAAGTTTTAAAGATATAATTTCTACAGATCACGTTGGGTAGAACAGAGAAAAGTCTTCAAGGACATCACAGAGTAATGGAAAACTAAGCTGTCCATTCCTTCTAGCAGGAGGCACCTGGCTAAACAGCATATGCCTGGTTCTAGATGTGTCAGAAGGTACAGACACTTTCCCAGCAGAGCTGGCCAGCCAACAAAGGTAGCCAAGATGCACAAGGATTTTGTGGTGGCCCACAGCAGTCCTGAGGACAGAAGGATGTCAGATGTCAAATTTTGTTGTCTTTGCTATTCACAAAACTACTAATTTTTGCACTGTTAAGGAATTAGGGAACATAATGACTCTAATACTCAGCTATGTGCTTGGATTCCTGGTGTGTCATTTACACTGCAATATTCCAAAATTTAATAGAACATTTATCAGGAATACCTCATAGTCCAAAGCAGAACAAGCAAAAGCTGGGTATGCATAGGTGATGGTGTAAAACAATGCCAAGAGATTGAGTAAGAATTGTGCTCTTCAAATTTATGAAGAGTTTTCAAAATGTCTTAAATAAATTGAATGTGTTTGCCTAATTATTGCTATTTGAAAACTATAATTAAGGTAAATTTTCAAAATATGTCATTTCAGTTGCTCTGTTTTGAGGCTGGAAAGCTGTTTTTAGATAAGAAACAAAAGCAACATGGGAAGGGGGGATGGAAACACAGCAGTTGTTTACATTATTCTTTTTTAGCCTTGTTTTGTAGGTCACTATGCCTGACACACAGGCATAGTTTTTAAATGCTAACCTACCTCCAGGCAAGTAGAACACATGCAAAACCTGGCAGCTACAGAGACAGACAGTCAATGAAAAGAGCACTGTTATTTTTAAAGACATCCTAGTGCTCAAATACAGCTTTGCTTTAGATGGTTCAAATTCAGAGTCTGGTTCTCTGAAACAAATTTTAAGTGTAGATTACTGACGACTGTTGACCAGGCTCCGCTGCCTCATGCTTTACATAACACATTACAGAAAGCTAAAATTGAAATGCCTTGACTCACCCATACTACACCCAAGAGCTATGAGAAAGATACTTTTAATGCTTAATATATAGAAAGAGATTTGAGTGTCCATTTATTCTTCTGCCAAGAAGTAAGGTCAGCAAAGCACTTTACAGGCTTGCAAGGCAAAGCAATGCCAGGTCAGAGACAGCCAGGAAAAAACCAAAAACTTATTGAGCATACTTGCTTCAGCCTCCTCACCACGCTGTCTTTAAAAAACCTGACTATATACAAACTGTATTACCATAAAAGGTATATCTTTAACTGACATTAAAAAACAGGTTTAAAAAATTCTACACACTTTGGTGGAGAGCATCGGTGCATTTCTGGGCACTTGCAATACAGATTTCACAACTCTTATCTTCCATTTCAAAAATCTTCCCACATGATAGAAGAATTTCCACAAGAGGGAGTTACAGCTCTGGTACACACATCAGTACTTTATTGAGTGTTAATTCCATCACCTTATTTCTATAAGGTGATGAAAACTTAGATTTCTAAGTAAAGGGGGGAAAAAGGCTGAAACAAACAGTTTTGCCAATCTGAATTTTTTTTTTTTTTAAATCAAAACTCCACTAATGGAGTCATATTAATTTTGATTATGCTTGATAACACAGCATGCAGATACTACAAATATAATACCTCAAAAATAAATCTGCTATTTAATGCTACATCTGACAGAAGTGGGGGGAAGACACGAAGGAGAAATGCAAGTTTTACAGCAACAATACAGTTATGATGTGCACTTTGTGCCTGTATTTTACAGGCAAAACCCACATGTTCTCTAAACAAAAACCTTGTGGATTCAGGCAGCACATAGCACAAGGGCTTTCCTCCCTAAAAGCTACTTCTGATCCTTGTAGCCTGCTCTCTTCAATATTAGCCATTTAATTTCTGAACCCATCTGCCTCTACCTTTGACCTCATGATCAGTAGTGTCAGTTGCAAGTACTCAATTTATGAAAGCAATTCCAAGGGCTAAATACTGAATTATTCTCAGGTAACTGGTAGAACTGATGCCCTTGTGGAGCTGATTTTACCTCATTTTCCCCATTAAAAAAAGTGACCAAATGATCTTTCCTTGACATAACAGTTATGAGATATCTGCATATGTATATAAATACCACTTTTTAGATATAAATGGAAGTGAATCATTTCACAGTAGTGAAGACAAGTTACCTAAAACAAGTTATCCCAGCATACCACAAAACCAATGGATGGTATTTTCTACCATTCTTCATATTTCTGGTCCATCAGTACAGTTTTGTGTCAGGTTTATTACAGTTTGCAAACAGCTCATATTTCTGGTCCATCAGTACAGTTTTGTGAAGCAGACCTGGCCTACATCTGTCAGGTTTATTACAGTTTGCAAACAGTTCTGTGCTAATAGTTAGCTGCAATATTTTTTTACTTGGTAGCATTTGCCTAGAAATTTGATTAACAGTTTTTCTCAGAAGTAGCAAAGGCAGGTTACTACAAATCTGTATTTTCAAATCAGTTAGAAAGTAAGAAGTATGAAGTCTGACCAAAAAAAAGAAAAAAAAAAAGGAATAGAATGAAATCCATGTTTCCTTAAGACATCAGATGAGGAAATGCTTTGATCTTTTTATTCAGTTTGGCTACTTGGTCACCTCTGACACATCACATAGAACACCCCTCCCAAAATAACTCCAGATGTTGACATGTGCGACCCAAAACAGCAGCTTCTGCAACAGATTACTGCACATGCCATCCCTTGTAAATGCTTAAGTTGGATCATTCAAAGTCTGACTATTATGTACAGGTACCAGTCACAAATTAAACTGGTGAGGTTATCCAGGAGCACTCCTTTACAAAACACCCACACACAATGGTATTTATGAAACTGTGATTTTAGTGAGCAGGTTTCACGAGTCACTTGCTCTGTTTATTCAAAGAGAACAAATTCTAGAAGTCATTAGTGCAAATGCATCTAAAAGCATAACTTTTTCCTTGCTAGGAGAATGGAAAAGTCCTTCCTGGCAACTGTCAGGATCCTGGAGAGTTAGCACTCTCTACAAAAGAGGTCATGCATGTGAAAAACAATCTCATACAGCTACTTAAAAAGCACCACCAGACACTCAGCTAGGACAAAAAGTCCAGTCTTCTCCTTCCTCAGATCCTCAGGGAGGTAGTAAGAAGAGATGGCAACACTGAATGTCCGAGCATGCCATGCAGAAGTTTTCCACCTAGTTCTGAAAAGGTTCCTTCCACAATTGATCTGGTCTTTTCCACAGGTTCTCTGACAGTTTTCACTCTTTTAAGAGACCTTCTTCCCACATATTCAAGCCTCCCACAGCACAAGTTGCTACTGAATGGAACAGAAACCAAGGAAGTATGTAGGTAGGAAAAGATAAGAAACCCCAACCCCAAACACCCACTCAAATACATAGGGGCCATTGCCATCAAAGTCTGAACATCAGGACATATCTTCAACAGTATTTCTTACCCAGTGGAAAAGGAAGGCAATAGAAATAATAACACATTTTTGAGTGCATTTGTATGCCCCACATATTTGTGGCAAGTGGGTTGAAGTACATTGTACTACAGGTACAGGCTTCTGTGCTTAATACTGTTACTATTAGTTCAAAGGTTCAATGAGTTTGCAAGAAAGCATGAAACTGGGAAATCAGGTCAAATAACATTTTTTCACCTAAAGTGAGTATGTTAACACAAATACAACCAGTCACAGCTTTAGCATAAGCATCCTAAAAACAAGGATCACAGAGACAAGGCAAAAGAAATGTAAAAGTCTTTTGAAAAAGGAATCTGTATAACAAACAGATCAGACTTTATTGCTGCAATGATCAAATACTTCCCCTACACATCTAGGGGGTCAGGACTCCATCATGAAAGAATGAACTCTTAAATATTAGGTTTAGCTTCAAATATAATACTTCCTATGCTGTTTTTCCAAACATCCTTGTAATTCAAGTACTCAGCCAAAAAAACAATTTGAATTTTGGCCCTGTGTAGAGACAATTAGCTCTGTAAAACAGTTTACCTCTTCACTGATGTCAATCACATCCCCCGGCTTGAGTTCCAGCTCATCCTCGTTCTGCGGAACATATTCAAAGAGCACTTTGCACTGCCGCTTCCTGGACCCTGATTCAAGGGAAATGGCAAAAGTAAGAATGTTTGCAAACAAAAACTATTTTTTCCTACACTCAGCTCCTGAGTAAAGAAGTCATCCCAAAAAGCTATGTAGCATTTGCTGTTTGCTTTCCAGTTTGCTTGCGTCACTTTAGGCTCAGGAGCTGCATCTTAGACAGAGCTGGAAAACCATCAAGCTTCACAGACTGCTGATTACAAACAAATAAACACCACACTGCCAATTACCAACATGCTATTAAAAAACGTGTGACACAAGCAAGACAGATAAATCCCCAGTAAAATTATTTTCAAGCTATTTCCTGACTGAAATCTGCAAGAATTACAACCACTGCCAGTTGCAATGTTAGTACTTGCTTGGAAGAAAATATGCAAGTTTGCGCCTCCAGTCTTTAAGGAATCCTGAGAGAAATAACAAATGTTTTGTTCTGCAAAACACTGAAGTGTGATAGCCTTTCTGCCCTCTAACAAAGACGTTGCTAACTACAGGTCTGAGGTAATGTTAACATTTGCTCAGCTCATATTTCAAAATCCAAACTCATTGTTATCTGCAAATGCAAAAAGTTCCCTTTTCTCAGTGCCAGTACAGAGGCGAGAAATTCAAACTAAGCTTCAACTAGCAGCTTTTGACAAATGCAAAATTGAAATAAAGTGCAGTCTTTAAATGATTGCCACATACTATTAAAGCTTTGCAGGCATTAAAAAGACAAAATGACATACTTAGAGGGGAGAGCATTGAAGTGGCTTCCAACAACCCCTCCAGTCAGAGTGGGGTGAACCTACAATTGCCCAATTACCCTGCACATATCCTGCAGTGATGCTAATGCTGAACTTGGAGAGTTTAGGCATGTCTTCATCAAACAAGAGGCCATGCCTTCAGACCTTTTTGACAACACAGCAGCCAGCACGCTTTTGAAGGTAATTGTCACCTTGAGCTATGACCACAAACGCTCCCCATCCTCATAAAAAACAATCTCCCACAGTTTACATGAAAGTACAAATCAAAAGCTTGAAGTGGTAAAGCTTAAGCTTGTAGGAGCTGTATAATTTCCATACTCAAGCTACAGCAATTAAGGTTAGCTGGGTAAAAACATTTCAAAACGTAGATACTGCCTCCAAGATTGATCCTTGTCTTATTATGGCAGCATTGAAAGTCCAACGTCAGACATTTAGAAACCTGCCACACCCAGCGTCCTCAGGACAAAACATACCAGGCATCCAAGTAATATTCAGCATCTAAAATTTCTGAGAGAGGGCTTACCAAATCAATAATTTTCTACATGTTGGTATATGGTCTGTGCTCTAAAAAACTTAAAAGGGGCAGGAAACAAACAAACCAAAAGTATGAAGCTCTATGGGTTATTTTCTAATAACATGTAATTGCCCACATAATACACCCTTCTTTGAACTCCACTGAAACTCATACATCAGCCAAGAGGGATTGTTAAATTAACAGTAATTGCAATAAACGGTTCACTGGCCTTTACTACCTCCTGCAGTGCTTTCAGGGCTCCTCCTTTGTACCAGATTAACTGATTAAAAGAAAAAAAAAAAAAAAGGCAAATTAAAAAGTACTGGCCATTTGGTATAAATCTGACCTCAGCATTCCTTTTCATATTGTAAATCTATCTAAATGGGGAAAAAGGGGAGAAAACAAACCCACAGATGCATTTCACATCCAGAACTCTCTTACCTCAGGTCTGTTTTTAGTGATATCCAGTTTAGGAAGTACTGTAGGAAGTACTGTATTCCAGTTTTGAAAATCCCTAGATTAACCTAGGAAGCTAACCAATCTGCTCAGAAAACAACACTCCAGCTACACGTGGTGCTGCAGGACTGCTGGGCTGGCAGCACCCAGGTAATTCTGTCCATTTCCAAAACAACTTGTCTGGCTTCAGTTTTTATTTGTTTTGTAAAAGGTAAAACAAATTCAGTTCTTTGTTGACATAATCTAGCACACCTTCTGTATTTTCCTTTTCCTGAATAAAGGAATACTGCCTGCAGCTTACTACCCACCTGACAAAAACACCTGAATTCAGTGAGAGCCATGCATGAAAACACAAGGGACTTTGCAGGGAGGGACAACCTACCTTACTGCAGGCTGGAAACTTGTTATTAAAGAAGCTTAACTTTGTTTTTAACATTGTAAACCTCATTTTACCAGGTTAGGAACCAGAAATAAAGACAACTAAGCACTGGAAACCTTTTGAAGGCAGTGAGCAATTGCCCAGGCACAGAGCAAACAGGATCTGCAGGAGCTGTTTAAACAGTCTTCCAGGAAAGAGGGAACAGCAAGTAAAATGGAAACGCAGAGATTGCCCTTGCACCAAGTAAACAGTTGTGTGCTTAAAGGAAGGTGCTTGAACACCATTTTCTTCTTGGAGGATGGCATTAGCCAGAGCACTGCAGAGTTTGAGACCAAGTTATATCTACTACCCTAACCACAGCCACCAGCATGAGGACGAGACACGCTTGAATATGGGATTGTTCCAGGGTTAGGGCGACTAGAATGAGTAGCCGACACCTGAACTGGTATCAGACCATGTTCACAGAATCCTAGAATATCTTGAGTTGGAAGGACCCATAACGATCACGTTGATTCCCTTTCAGAGCCTGGTTGTACTAATCTAGGAACAGCGTTAACCTTTCAGGCTAGATTTTCAAAAGCCTGCTGATGCAAACATCTAACAAGCAGGTATGTGCTGTTGTCAATGTGCATATGCAGATCAGATTCACTAAAAACTGATATTGAAGGTAAACATCCTCAGTTGCCTAGAAGAAGATTTCAACAAATTTGTACATCTGGTGGTCCCATTTCAGAGCTTTAAAATTAAAGAATCAGAATGCTGTGAGTTGGAAGGGACCCACAAGGATTATCAGTCCAACTCCTGTCCCTGAACAGGACAATCCCAACATTCAGACCATGTCCCTGAGGGCCTTGGCCAAATGCTTCTGGAATCTTGTCAGGCTTGGTGCCATGAGCACCTCCCTGGGGAGCCTGTTCCAGTGCTCCAGCACCCTCTGCCTCAAGAACCTTTTCCTCATGGCCAACCTCAGCCTCCCCTGGCACATCTTCCTGCCATTTCCTCTGGTCCTGTCAGTGGTCACAAGAGAGGGGAGATCAGCACCTGCCCCTCCTCTTCCCCACCTGAGGAAGTTCTAGACTGCCATGACTCCCCTCAGTCTCCTCCAGGCTGAACAAACCAGGTGACTTCAGCCTCTCCTCATACAGCTTCCCCTCTAAACCCTTCACCAATTTTGTGGCCAAAGACTACTGGCTCTTCTCCTTTTACAGACAAAAACTCAAAGCATAAACATACCAGAAACAGTAAGTTCTGAATTCTTTCTTTTCTAGAATCATAGAATGGTTTGGGTTCAAAGGGACCTTTAAAGGTCATCTAGTCCAACTCCCCTGCAGTGAGCAGGGACATCTTTGACTAGGTCAGGTTGCCCAGAGCCCCATCCACCCTGACCTTGAATGTTTCCAGGGATGGGGCTTCTACCACCTCTCTGGGCATCCTGTGCTAGTGTTTCACTACCCTCATTGTAAGAAATTTCTTGCCTATATCTAGTATAAATCGACCCTCTTCCAGTTTAACCCCTTGTCCTGTCACTACAGGCCCTGCTAAAAAGTCTGTCCTCATCTTTCTTATAGGCCTCCTTCAAGTATTGAAAGGCTGCAATAAATTCTCCTGGGAGCCTTCTCTTCTGTAGGCTTAATAATCCCAAATCTCTCAGCCTTTAAAAAACAAGCTTAAATCATAAAGGTCTGCAATCCCTTACAAGAGAGAGGAAGCCAGAGTAATTTAGAGCAACATCTCTTTTATGACTATGTCCAAATACAAATCACAAGTCAATTTTCTGGATGCAGGGAATGTTAAGTTTTATGCTATAGATTTTAGTCACCTTGATTTAAATATTGGTATTAAAACATAAAAACCACAGATACCAAATCTGCACTCCTGACCATACTGGGGGCTGCAGTTACAATCAAAGACAGACCACTACTTTTTCTTAAGACAACACCAACTCCACCTTATTTCACACTAGACGCAAGCCTACCTAGAAAAAAGAGGAACCTGAACTATGGAGTGCTCCCTTGTCACAAAGCCCCAAATTTTTAGCAAAACTTTTACATTTAAAAGGAATAACCACAGGAAGATTTTTGATTACCATAAACACGCCCTGCAGTTCTCATCTAGGTACCTGACAATATAATCAGAACACACGCGAAGTTACAGAGCAAATCTCTGGAATAGGGAAGGGGTCCAAATCCTGTTCCCAGGAAAACTCATCCCTATTGCTGCTGTTAAGAACTACATATAAGCTTCCTGCCCACACATCCAGGGGCAGAATTTGGCTTAGAATCAAAGCTTTTTCTCCCATGTCTCTAGTGTTCCGTACAACCTTAAAATTAAGTTAGACAATAAATAATGTGTTTATTAAAAAAAAAAAAAAATGCATGTCAGCAGCTTACACAACTGAAGAAATTGGAATGACTACATACTCTTCTTGAAGCTTTTGGATGGGGGATGAGGCTGGAATCCTCCTGCTGGAAGCCCATAGCTGCTTATACGCTGCACAAGACTGGCTACATTGCCAGACTTCTCCCTCCTGACTGGTACGGCATCATCCTTGGGCTCTACATCCTTCTTTACTTCCTGAAACAAGAGATTTAAAAGACTGAGAGGCCATTTCAATTACCCAAGAGGTCAATGTTTTTAGACAGGCACACCATGGACTAACAGATTTCAGGTACTTACCATTTGGTGTGTAATGATTTATTATAGTCAAAAATCATGGCATCCTGCAACTAAACATATTAAAGGCCTTAATAAACTCGACCCTTCCACACAATCATGTTAGCAAACAGGTAAGCTGATGTGCTGAGAAAATTAAGAAACAGGGGCAGTATTTTAGCCATCTACTCCAACCCTAAGAAAAACAGCTTACAGCCCAGAAGTCCCATATTACAAATCTTAAGTCATAGCTTGTATTTGAAAACATTTTAAAAAATATAAATATTACTTCAATGACAGCCCCATAGGTTAGGGCACTAAATATTTTTTTTTTATTTTATTTTAAAAATGTATTAGGTGATCATCTCTGCCTCAGAACGCTCAAAGGTTGTTTACAGACAAGATGTAATCGCACTGATGAAAGACACGAGTGGAAAATAAAGTGAGATACAAGAAATGGAGTGGAAGGAAGCAAGGGGAAAGGTGTGGGAGGAAAATAACAGAGACATCATTTTTCTGATCATTGTCTCCCACCTTCCTATCTTTCTAAATGTTTAAGATGTTATAGCATTGAAATTGAATGTACCAATCAAGACTAAGAAGCCTCTAAAGAAAGCATCAGTTCTTGACAAAAAAGGCCATGTAGGCAGCAGTTACTCTACTGCATCAGCTCATTAAATGAGATTCCACCGGAGAGCAGATACTCTGAAAGAAGGAAATCATCACTTTGCACAAGAAGAAACCCATTAAGTCAGATCAATGGCTCATCTAGTGCAGAACGCAGCTCCCAGCAGCACAATCCCAGATGCTCTTTAGAGACCTAGCCTGCAACTCAGATCCTCCCACATTCCCAGAGCACCCATAAGGGTTTTATTAGGGAGATACATTCCCTTCCTCTCTCCCTTTCATGTCTGCAGATGAATCTGTCTAATCTCTTTCTGCATCCATGGTCCTGTCTGCCTGCACAGCTTCTCTGCAGATAGACACCAGATATTTTCTCTCTGCTACATAAAGAAGCTCCGCTCTCTCATCAGCTTTAAGATGACACTTTAAGCTAGTCCCAGTGTGTGCTCCCCACCACTGCATTTAGTTTATCACTACCTCCACAGCTGTGTAAACCTTGATCATATCCCCCCTTGATTTTATCCTCTCAACTGAAGAGTCACACAGCCTTGTCAACCCCCATCTCACCAGGCAGGTGCTCCATCCCCTTAACCATCAAGCTGCCTGTCCCCATCCTTGTCTCAGTAAATCTGATGACACTTGGAATCCTGTCAGTGTTTTGGGCTGTCACTGCACCCAGAGCTGAGCATTTCAGAGAACTGAAAGCAGCACTACCAGATATTCATGAGCTGATGCTCAACTCTCAGTTGGTATTTCCATGTAGGCATGGTATGGATTATCTATTCTTATAGACATTACTTGGCATTTACTTACCTTCAAGTTCATCTGCCACCCTTTTTGCCTGCTCAGCTCCTGTCATCAGAATGGCACTGGACTACGGAAGAGTTTAACAGCACTCACAAAATGGGAGTGTCTGCTGTTAAATCCACTCTCCAGCTGACCAGAGACGCTGAAAAAGGCTGGTACCACAATCAGCTCCTGGGTGATCCTATTGCTGCCTCTCCTCTACCCTGAGAAATCACTGATAAGTCCTTTGCTTCTTATTCTTTAAGCAACTTCCAATCCATAAAAGAAATTTCCCTTCAGTCTATCATAAATACATCCACTGAATCTCATGTGCCCATGTGCTTAGTAAGACCCTCAAAGCCCATCAGCTTTCCCACCGCCGCAGCATTACAGTGTCTTGAGGAAAGCAAACACACACAAGTACTTTGCAACTTTTTGTGATCCACTTCAGAGCAATTCTTACACCCACCATCAGCAGACACTGGTTAACAACTCCACTAGTTACTTCAGCTACAGCTGCAATAAAATATTTACTAATATTTGAAAACAATATTGGCTATATACACACACTTACTAATGTCCTGTGAATTCTTAAACATGAGCTTTAAGACAACAAATCCCATGCATTGATAAAATGCCAAAAAACTTAGAAACTTATTCACCAGGACCTATCTGGTGCTTTCTAGAACATTAAAATCCAGGCTACTTACTGCAGCTGTCCAGCTGGAAACCTCAGCAGGTCTGGAAAGCTACTGATGCTTTCAAATATACTATGAACCTGAAGTCAAATAGTCTAAAGCACTCTCCTATTTCCCAAAAGAGCAGAGCAAGTAGAATAAGCAAGGCTACAGACAGCATCATTTTTCCTCCCACTCATCTACATTACATAAAGAGGCTTTTCAGAAAACAGGCAAGTAGTTCCTGCTGTTACTCTCCTTCATCCACAGGGACTTCTCCTCTGGAGATCTTCGCTCTGCAGAGATCCCATCTTCCAAGTTAAAAATAAATAATAAATAAATAAATATATATATATATAAACAAACAAACAAAACCCCTATCAGAATAGCACAGCATCGTGTTTATCTCCCATTTGAGCATACTCCAGCAGTAGATCAACGGCAGCAAAGTAATTGACGGGTTACAAACAACAGGAAATTATTTGAGACAAAAGCAGTGCCCACAACAAACAACCAAAGACCCAAAAACGAAAGGAGGAATGCTTGAGTGATTTTCTTGCCTGACTTGAGTCAGTAACTGAAGTGGTGACAGGTAGGAAATACTCAAAGTCTAAAATGAGACTAGCAAAGGCAAACAGAACAGAAAATGTAGTGGAATTAGATTAAAAGATAAGTTCCAAAAATAATTCTGTGAACACTATTTATAGGAAGAAAATCTTGCAAACAGATTCAAAGGCTGAAGATTTAAGAATTTCATTGGCAGAAACCAGAAAGAATGATCAGACACTGGGAGAGACTGGTACCACCAGACCTTCCTAATACAGCTAAGATGTGAAAGTTGAATACTTCAATACTCAAGGAAAAGAAAACTTCCTAATCTAAAATACATGAAAGGATCAAGATGCCTATGTGAGAAAGAGATGAGCAGAGAGCTGCAAATAATCAGAAAAGATCTGCAGTAAGTAGACCTGGGTAAAGAACTGATGCCAGCCATGCTCAAAGCACAGACTGGATAGTGACACTTCTCCGTGTATCAGAAAGCAAACTGTGACCGCAGCATCAAGTGAAGCTGCTTTGTAACAAGGGGAGGAAAAATAACCATACAAGAGTCTTACCACCAGAGTAACCAGTGATAAATCTAGTTTTGACAGAGAACTACAGAAGAGGTTAGTAAGCAGTGCATGGGTAAGCCAACAACTGCTTTCTCCATGTTTAACCTATTAACCTTTAGAACACCCTTGTAAAGTAAGGACTATTTTTTTTTTTCTTCTTGTTAAAAGAGGAACTGCAGCATTAATTATCCTTCTTTGGGGTATTACAAACCACATTAAAACCAAACCAAGTTAAAGCAAATTCAGGAATCCCTGGTCTCTACAACCACACGTGGTCCACTATACCACAAACCTCTATTTCACATCAGTCATTAACAGTAGGAAACTGCTCTAAGATTCATTTTCAAAAGCGTCCATCAGGATCTTCTGACATACACACCCATCACCACTGCCAGCAAGTTCAGCCTCAGCATCATCGTCACAACCCTCTGACCTTTTGGATGTGGTAAGTTTTACAAAGGAATTAATTTCTAAACAAGACATATAATTGGTTTGGATCTCTGAAAACTGACACTAATCGATGCAAATCAATTAATTGATGCCACATTAATAACATTAATAAGAGTCTGCAATAATTAATGTTAAATATAAGAGTCTACAATTCTTGTGTCTCTGCCCAAACAGCTGGCCTGAATTTCAGTGGTTGGAAAACAACACTGCCCACAGGTCTCATCTTCCAAGTACCACTATAACCAACCCCACCATGCTCAAGACTCCTATTCATCAGCTTCACAACAAGGCATTTTTCCTTCTTTGTTTTTGTTGTTTTTTAAGTCAGCCTCATATATCCAAACTAACAGAGAGAGTCTGTGCTGTGACAATACCAACAGAAAAACCTCCAGGACACTTCAGCTTGTTTTGAGATGAGGCCACCACCAGCTGCAAAAATGAAATGAAACTCTGACATTAACTGCAGCTGGAAATTTTACTATTTTTATTATGCCAGTCCACTGCAGTTCGAGGTTTGTCAGTGTTTCCATTAGCAACACAGATTTTATGCATTTATGACTTGGCAGTAGAAGGTAAATACAGACTGTCTCTTGGCATAAAACACACTCAACTGGGAAGTAACCACCCACTCTTTCTGTTGCAAACTACGGCACTAGTCTAAAAGCTTGGAAGTTTTCATAATACACTAAATGAGTATTTCACAGTACTTACAAAATTTGCTGAAATGACTAAAGGTTGATAAGTAAAAAGGCACATAAATCTAACTCAATAGATTGGGGTGATCTTAAGGGGCTCCTGTTTGAATTGCACCTGTCATAGTTTAACAATTCCTCAAGGAAATTATGTATTTATATATAAAAATCTCAAAAATCATTTGGGTAGAACACTATGTGAAACAAGAGTTCCTCTTCTTTATACACAGACAAAAATCTAACACACCTGAATTCATCTATAGCCTTATGATGCCTATTAAAACAAACAAATAAGCAGGCAGTCCTGACCTACTTTTTAATAGAGCAAGCAAGCAGCCTCCCAACATCAGCCTCTTGTCCACGCATCACTCCAACGGGGACAGCAGGATCCTCCCCACTTCCCTTGCCAGAAGCAAAGAGCGCTGAAATCAGCAGGGCAGTGGAGATAAAGCAGGTCAGATCGTCTCAAAGGATGCAAGGAATAGATGGTCATAAATATAAAGTCTATTCCTGAATTACAGGGTATAAGTAAGTTCATTATCCAGCAAACCTAAATCCTTAGCTAGACTCTTCAAGAATAA